AATACCAGCGAGTCCGAGACAAGTCCGAGACCATAAAAAAACGGTCTCAAGACCGGACTCGAGTACTACAGCCCTGCCATGGAGCCTGAAAAAGTGGCATGTGGGATGTTGCCCAAATGGAACAAAGAATGAACTTGTTTTTCCTCTTTGAACTTCAGTCTGATTTCACTGTCTACCACTGTTATGTTGAAATGAACATGGCAAAAAAATGGAAGGGCAATATTGCAAAACAACACCGCAAAGTCTTCATTATAACCATTTTGGGATCAATGTTCTTATTATTACTGCTCATTGGATTGAGTTAGGCTAGTGACCAGTAACTCCATTACAGGTTGGGTTAGGCTAGTGACCAGTAACTCCATTACAGGTTGGGTTAGGCTAGTGACCAGTAACTCAATTACAGTTTGGGATAGGTTAGTGACCTGTATCTCCATTACAGGTTTGGTTAGGCTAGTGATCTGTAGCTCCATTACAGGTTTGGTTAGGCTAGTGACCTGTAGCTCCATTCCACCTTCCCAAACCCCATCTCTCTCCCTTAGGGAACTGTGGCTCACACCCTAGGCCTCACACACCACACCGATGTGCTCAACCTTGTGGCGAGCAGCTTCGGGTTGCTGGGGTCCGAGTCGAGTGAGAACTTAAGGGTCAGTGACACCGCCTTTGCTGGGGTGGAGGTCCGTGTGTTCCAGTCAACCCTGAGGGAGGCGGGAGAGCTGAAGAGAGGTGTGGTCTACATCCACGGAGGTGGCTGGGCCCTCGGAAGTGCTAGTGAGTGTCTTGGAGCAAACGAGAAACTGAATTTGGAGATTGGAGTTGTTGGTACGAATCACAAGCGAACTACAAGCCAGCTGGAGCTGTATGCAGAACAGAGGTGGAGATTTCAGGTCCATAGAGTACAAATCCGAACTAAGATTTTGTCTCAACCAACCAGTTGAGTTACTCTGTGACTGTGACTCTTTATACTCAACTGGTTGGTTGAAACATAATCTTGGTCTGGATTTGTATTCTCTGGACCTGAAATGTTTGATGTTAAACTGCAACTTTTCTGCCTGAATCACTGTGCACTCAAAGTTGCACAAGAAAGCCTTATATTTTTGTGTAACAGCCATGCTTAGATCAAAGTTTTGACTGGGGACAGAGTATAAAACCTGGAAAAAAATGAGATTATCCATGTTTAACAGGATCAGGGTCCTATGACTGTCTCTGCAGGAAGCTGGCGAAGGACCTCGATGCAGTCGTTGTGTCGGTTGAGTAAGTTCACCACCTTCAGGTCATTTTCTGAGTCACCCAAGTCTCCGACGGTGCCACTCAGCGGCTCTCCTTTGTGCCTTGCACCCCAGGTACCGCCTGGCCCCTGATGTCCACTTCCCTGTGCAGTACGACGACGTCCTCCAGGCCTCCAGACACTTCCTACAGCCTGAGGTGCTGGCCCAGTACTCGGTGGACCCAGACCGAGTCGCCGTGTCGGGCGACAGCGCGGGGGGTAACCTGGCAGCTGCTGTAGCTCAGCAGGTAGGATCCACACAACACAATTCCACAGCTTTGCTGTTCAGTGTCTCCATTTCCAATGAGCCACAAGGATTCGATGGGCTGTAGCTGTGCATCAATGGTAATCATTATTTTTTGCTGAAGAAGAAAATTTCTGGAGGGAAGGGTGTCTTATAGGCAGTTTCTTATATCTGAGTTTTAGGTTGCCATCGATGACAGCATTGCCATCAAATTCAAGGTCCAGGCCCTGATCTACCCAGTACTACAAGCCTTGGATTTTAACACACCCTCATACCAAGAGAGCCAGAATGTGCCGATCCTATACCGCACAGTCATGATCCAATTCTGGCTGGAGTATCTGGCTGCAGACCCTGAGCATCTGCACGCCTTGCTGCTCAACAACCACACTGCCCAGGACCAGAACCAGGTGGCATCAGCCCGGGCAAAGGTAGACTGGGTCAGACTGCTCCCACCCTCTGTACAGAAGCAGTACAAGCCTGTGGTCCAGCCAAGAGGTACACCACGGATCCTGGAGGAGGTGCCAGGACTGTTGGACCCCCGTGCTTCCCCACTGTTGGCTGAGCGTGATGTTCTAGTGCAGGTGCCACAAGCTTACATCCTGACCTGCGAGCATGATGTGCTTCGGGATGATGGTTTAATGTATGGGCAGCGGCTTCAGGAGGCAGGGGTGACGGTGACCCACGACCACTATGAGGGTGGCTTCCATGGCTGCATCTCCTTTGCATTCTGGCCCACGTACTTCTCCGTCGGCATACAGAGCATGCAAAACTACATTGCCTGGCTTGACAAGAACCTTTAACAACTTGGGGTATGACCAGTGGCAATTTGGTTGTCATAGGGAAATCCACCCAAAAAAAATTATAATAGGATCAGGTCCAAAGGAAACTATTACACATACAAGAAGCAGTGAACGTCCCTTCATTCTCTGAAATATTTCTAGCTATTAGAGATGGAGGGAAGAAGTGTGGATGTCCTGGGACAGGGCAAAGCCAGCTGGTGATCCCACAGTTTGCTTTCTTGTCGCTCCTTTCTTCAGTTGTTCACTCTCACCTCAAGTGAACGTGTCCAGATCTTGCTGTTGTAGCCCTCAGCTATACTGTGGATCCAATATTTGTTTCCATTTTTTTTTGCATCATTTGCAGCCTTTTATTTTTAACCCCCCCCCCCCCACTCACATTGTTAGAAAATAAAACAATAAATCCTTCATCCCACCCCCGTGTCAATTTGCCCCATTTGTTGTCCCACTCCGAGCGAACCTTACAGAGATACTTCTGTTATAATGTGAAAATCAGTATTAATACTTAAGTTTCTTGCGGTCTACAACTGCCATGTGGTTAAACTTAGTGTCTTCTGCCAATCTATGAGTTCAGTTACGTATAAGATGTGACCAATGTCACGCATGAACATGCTAACTGATTGCCGTTCATTGAGCGCAATCTGTTTTTGTTGCTGAATGATGAAGTAAACAAATTGTAACTCATAAATGTGACCTTGAACGATGCTCACGCACCAGAAATAGCAATAATAAGCAAAAAAAAAATTATAACTTGCCTCACACCTCATGGGACCTGGGTTTGAGTCTCTGCTGGGATCCCATGTGCGTGGAGTTTGTATGTTCGCCCTGTGTCATCATGGGGTTTCCTCCGGGTACTACGGTTTCCCCCCACAATGTAAAAACATGCTGAGATTAACTCAAGTTCTCAAATTGTGTGTCTGTGTGCCCTGTGATGGGTTGGCGCCCCATCCTGGGTTGTTCCTGCCTTGTGCCCTGTGATGGGTTGGTGCCCCATCCTGGGTTGTCCCCTGCCTTGTGCCCTGTGATGGGTTGGCGCCCCATCCTGGGTTGTTCCCTGCCTTGTGCCCTGTGATGGGTTGGTGCCCCATCCTGGGTTGTTCCCTGCCTTGTGCCCTGTGATGGGT